GGTACTGGAGAAAAACCAAAAAAAAAAAAAAAAAAGCGCGCTTCTCTTTGCTCCCTACCAACGGCCTTTACGCCCTGTCTGCCTATACCCAGGCACAATAAATTCCAGACCATGCTGCCTTTACACAAGCCTGGTAGTCTTGGCTGGTTTCTGCTTCACACTGTTCCTTATACTTCTTTTCTTCTTTTCTCCCATCACATACAAAAATCCCTTAAAGACACTTCGCATCCATAAATTAAGTTAGCTGATAAAATAAAAGGGAGAAGCTTGTTCTTAAAGGAAGTGATTGAGAGTTCAAATAATGTTTTTAGGCAAAACATCTTAGATCACTCATCTAAAAAAAATTGGTGGGGTTGATGCCTTCCATCTGTGAAATGGGCCATTATCTTTCTGTGAGCAAGCCATTGTTTTCCTCCAAAGAACAACCAAGACAGAATTTCCTACAGATTCACAAAGTCCCATAGATTTGCACCACCAAAAACACAGATATTCACAGATCTAAACTGTGTTGAGGACCCATGTTGAGGACCAACACTATTTCTTTGAGTGTGTACTTTATAATTCTACCTAATAAATCTCTTCATGGCTTTAAAAAAAAAAACAAAGCAAAGCAAAACAAAAGACAAGAGTGTCAGTTGGATATAATCTACCATAATATTGAGATAATATATACAGTTTGCATTACATAAAATTCAGTATTTTTTCTGTTTCCTCATTCTGTAATGTCAGAGATACAGAGCTAGCTATTAGTTCCACTGTATGAAAGTTGAAGCTATGCTAACGCATACATTTCACAATGCAAAGCAAAATTGAGTTATATGTCCTGGTCAAGTCCAGAATTTTAAATGTTGTGTTTGAGGCTGAGGAAAAAAAGCAGATGAGTACTACATTGTGTAAAGATAAACAATAAAAAATCTGATGCCAGCCATGTGCCCTTGTTACGTGTCCCACTTCCCTGTTGGATCAATATTAGCGAAGTAGCTACACTTGTAATCTTATTAGTTTATTATACTTTGACCCACGTTCTACCCACATTGTAACTTTGGTGTATAAATTACCCTAACAAGGTGTCTCAGCAGCAACCCACGTTTGGTGCCTCTCCTGTCTCTCAGGAGTCATTCCTATTCCCGAGTAAACCTTTCCTGCTCTTAACCTCCTTTGTCTTTTGGAATTCAGACTTCTATTACAGGGGGCATGAACTCACCACATCTGACATCTAGCAGGAGGGAGTCTGCTAGATGAGAGAACATGGGAGAACATATTTCTCCCATGTTAGGCAGAAGGCTCCCAAGAAGGCTCTATGGCCCTCTACTAAATTGCGCTGGACAATCTCAGATCTCCCTGAGCTGGGAGATTAGGGTGTGGCAAAAGCTGGCTGGGGAAGTAGGTGTGACCTGTATACATGATTGGATATATGTGCAGAATAGTTCCAGAAGCCCTACATGTGGACTTCTCTGGAGAACCCCAGCAGGTTTGCAATAGGATACCCTAGACCTGACCTCAGCCTGAGGGCTGGGTTCTCAGTGCCACCTCTCAGACCCGGATGTAGAGGTTCTCGGGAGTTTCCCCGAGATTTGGACAGCATAAAAGAAAGGCAGCCTTTCTTTTATGAAGGCCTGGAGATACTGGAGCCTTCTGCAGTAGTCCACGCTGTTTCCCAGACCCTCTTTTTGTCTTGGCCCAAGCTCACTCTGCGGAGCCAATTTCTCTCCTACTCTTACTTTTACTTTCTCAAATAAACTTTGCCACTGTTTTTTGCTCTTTTCATCCAATTCTTTGTTTGAGACAAGAAGAACCTGGAATGCAACTCCAGAAGGGGAGGCGAGCATCCAAACTGGGTAATATTTAGTCAGCGAGCCACTTATTAGAAACAAGCTACCCAGTAACATCAGTACTTTTACTATTATATAAATGCAAAATACATTACTTTTAGCCCTGATCTCTCTTCTAGATGCCTAATCACTATTTTCAATTACCTAAAAATCATCCTAATCAAAAAATGTTGCAGATAGTTTTTTTTTTTTTTTTGTTTTTTGTCTTTTTGAGATAGGGCTTCACTATGTAGTTCAGGCTGGCCTTGAGCTCACTTTGTAGCCCAGGCTGGCCTCGAACTCACAACAATCCTCCTGCTTCAACCTCCCAAGTGCTGGGATTACAGGCGTGCATCACCACCCCCAGCTCTCATATTTTTATGTAATCTTAATACTAGTTCTCATATTAATCAAGATATATGATTTGTGAACAATCTCTTTTGTGTGTTTTCTTTTCCTTGATGATTTCCTTTAAGAGTTTTTAATTTTGAAGAAGTCCAATGGATCTATTTATTCTTTCTTGCTTGTGCATTTGCTGCAAATTTAAGAAAACCATTGCCTATTTAAGACACCTCAAATTTTGTATAACCTGAGTTCAAGGCTGGGCTATTTCTGTGGGCTTCTACTGACATCACAGCACTGAACACCCTATACCTGTAGTACTTGTTAATGTGTCTGTCACCTTCTCTAACTCCTGGGGTGGGCTGGTATGGTCTCCGCTCCGTGTTCAGAGCCTGTTGGACTCTGGTAGGAAGGAGTGTTCTGTAAATGTTGGGCATCAGGGAGAATGTGTTGCCACGATCAGAGTAGGGTAGCCCAAAAAGTGAACTGGGGCCACACAAAAAGAAATTTTGGAGCGATCTAGTGGAGGCCAAATTGCTCTGTGCCACTTGCAGTTTGGTATTTATGCGATTTGCATTTGTTCTGTTATCAAAGGTCTGCTGAGTATAATGGGGGAAGAAATGAAAATGAAATTAGGCAGTGGCTTGTGGTGGTGAGCTTAAATTACTGACTGATGTATATCTGAGTGGTTTCTCATTTTCTCTAAGTACAGCCTCTAACAATGGCTCAAACTTAAATAGAGAGGGCTTACCACGTGCCAAAGACAGACTGAGACACTACTGATGCGTACTACCTCATTTAATCCACAAAGCAATGCCAACAGTGAGGTTCTGGTATCCTTCCTGTTTTACAGAGAAATGAGAAGCGGTGTGCCCCAGTAGAGGTGTGGGTCACTTCTTACCTCTGTGCCGAATCCAGTCTCCGATTCTTTCTCAGTGGGACTTCGTAGGCGCCTGGGTCTTGGGGTGGGAATGTCCTGCAGTAGTACACTTTCTGCCTTGGACTGAAAAGTCAAACAAAATTATTGCTACAAAACACTAGGGATGCTGTGAAAAAAAACCTTCAGTCACCATTTTATCTCAGCACAGAATAATCAGTAAGAGTTGCACACCGTGCCTCTTTAGTAAGAGACAGGAGCAAGGGAAAGGGTTTAGAAGAACAGCATGAGTTCTCAAACACAATTTTCATCCTTGCCATTGCAAAACACGGCAGTAACACTTAGCAGAGAAAGAGAAATCATGTAGCATTCAGACTTGCACAGTTTGGAGCGCAGGAAGGGAGCCAGCAAAGCCCAGGGGAACGGCAGTCAGCACGGAACAGAGTGGTCACGGTCCTCTCACCCTCGCAGCTTGCAGTTTCTCCCGCAGGCGCTCCCTCATGGAAAATTCTGCAAAGCCCGTTCTGGACACGGAAGGAATTGGAGGTAAGCCTTAAACAAATAAAGGAAAATTACTTTTAGGCACTCTATTTTCCAAAGGGAAAATGAAACTTAAAAAGTGAGAGAATGCAATTTTATTTTGCCGATCCGGAGCTTCGTATAAGCAGACACAAGATGCGCTGACAGCCCTGCTTTTGATGTCGGAAGGGTGTATCTTGGCTGCGAGACTGACAGGGAACACCTTGGCTCTCCTAGGCCTGCCACCTCAACTTAACCAGGAATAGAGTGAATGACACCTGGCTGTTCAAGCACACGTGCACCAACTCCGTCACCCCTGGGCGGAGCCTCTGAAACGTGTGGATTGAGACCATGCGGGAGGACTTGAGGGTTTCCGGGCTTCGCGTTCACTCTCACCAGAGAAATCTCTTCTAGGCCATTGCCCTGCGCAGCCTCAGAGAGACACAGTGTGTTTTGTCCATGTTACTAAATACAGATTTACACATCTTGAAGCGGGGAGCAGCTGCTGTGTGTCGGGAACCGTGACGCACGTCAAAGGCACATTTTCATCAATCTTGCTGGTCTCCCCCAGGAGACCCAGGTGTTCCCCTCCTCTGAAGGGAAGATGCAGACTCTGAGGCCCGGTGTGATGAGTGACTGCCTCCACTATCACGCACGCAGCGTGTAAAACAAGTGGGATCTGGTCCCAGACTTAGGTTTCTGATGCTCTGCAACCATTACAAGAGAGGTGGAGATAAGATGGACAGAACAAATGCCAGCCTCATATCTACTTCCTTCTTTCTTTCCTCTGGGGAGGGGGCATCCAGCCCAGCCTCCTGTGCTTGCCAGGGCTGTTCTTTGATAGATCACACCCCACCTCCCCAGAGAGCAGCCCCTTTCACAATTAATACCAGATCTCTCTGAACATCTAAATAACATAGCTTATTTACTCCCACCCTTTAAAAATAAGATTCAGATTTTCTTTCTACTCAAAACAGTTACTATTTGTACATAGTTCACTAAATAATTCTATTTTAAAGAGGAACAAGATATTTTATTAAACACCACCTCTTCTGGATTAAAAAAGAACTGAAGTATCTGTAGCATTATTTTTTAAAACCTTAACATTTTTGATACAATAAAGAGTAACTCTTGTCTACTTTTTTTTTTTTTTTAAATGATGATGTTTATTTTTAACAGACACTACTTTGTGGAGCAGTTTTAGGTTCACAGCACAACTTAAACAAAACAAAACAAAACAAAACAAAACTCAGCTTTTTAAAGACAGGGTCTTGCTATGTAGCCCATGCTGGCCTCAGAACTGCAGTGGTCCTCCTGCCTCAGCTTTCTGCATACTGAGATTATAGGTGTGCGGCACCATGTCCAGCTCTCAGCAAAACTGAGAGGAAGGTATGGAGGCTTCCTAAATCCCCAATTCCCACCCATGTACAGCCTCCTCCACTGTCACTGTCCCCCACTCAGGTGGCGGGTACGTTAATTACAGCCAGGAGAGCTACGTGGACGGTCACTGGCGCCCAAAGTTGCTGATGCCACAGGGCTGCCTCTTGGTGTGGCGTGCTCTGTCGCTTTTCAGGAAGCTCTGGTGCCAGCTGCCCACCCTCATGTAAGGTGTGGAGCCGTCTCCACACCCTGGAAAGTCTCTGCTTCTCCTGTTTGTCCCACCTTCCTTCCCTTTAACCCCTGGCAACCAGAGATTTTTTTTTCAACTAATTTTTAAAAGAAGTCTGTGCTAGTAGAAGACATGTAGAGACCTTCAAGGTTTCCACATTTGGTCTGCCCCGCTGCTTGATGATGCATCAGTGTCCCAGGGTGAGGGCAGGAGAGTGCTGTACCCAGCGCAGTGTGGTGACGGATTAGCCAGGGGACAGGGGAGCAACAGGAGGGCGTGGGGACAGGATGCTCCCGCTATTTCACACAGAGGGAATGCCATGCTCCTCAGAGGCTGATGACAACCGTTCTTCAGTATTGCTAATGTGACACCCTGGCAAAGCTAGGGGTGCCAGCCCACTCTCGTTACCATAACAGCTAGTAGGGAGAAGCACATTTTTATCTTGGTAGAAAATGGCAGTTTCTTTAAACAGCTGGAAATACTAAGACAGGCCTCTTAAGACATTTCTTTTCCCTCATTTATTGTCACTTACTCCACTCCCAGCTATGTGATTCCCAAACCGGGGCTAATATCATTTCCAAAGAAAAAGAAAAAGATCAGGCAAAAAGTAGTTTTTATTATATTAAAAATTTTAAGCTTTGAAAAATAATATTAAAGAAACTTACTTCAGTTTCTTCAGAAGAGATGGTATTTAATAAACTATCTTGCCTCTCTTTTAAACAATAATTTCTTTTTTTTTCTTTTTTGTCTTTTTGAGACAGGGTCTCGCTATGCAGTTCAGGCTGACCTTGAGCTCACTTTGTAGCCCAGGCTGGTGTCGAACTCGCAACGATCCTCCTGCCTCAGCCTCCCGAGTGCTGGGATTACAGGAGTGTACCACCACGCCCGGCTAAATAGTAATTTCTAAAATTAGTGTAACGAGCCATAGACAAGTAGTAGCTGGTTTAAGTGCACAGTGACCCTCAATTTTCTGGCTCTGGGGGAGGGAAGGGAACTGATTTTCCCAGCCTGAGGGAGGTGTGACGACTTCTGCTGGCACAAAGAGGTACATTCAGGAAGTGGCAGTGATGTGGGGAAGATGGGCTAGCACCAGTAAAGCAACCTCAGGTATACAAGGAGTGTGATGAGAGTAGTTTGTAAGACTAATGAAAATTTGATTTGGAGGCATGAAAGAACTTATGAATAATGGGAATATTTCAGGACGTTCCATTAAAATATGTCCCTCGCATCAGCGCAGTATGAGGTATGGAGATCCTTGACAAAGTGATGTTTTCTGTCACAGCCAACAAGGAACTCACGTATAGGTTTGCACTTGCAGCTCAGAAAGCCCATTAGCCCCAAGGTTGCATCCGCCTCCTGTTCACAAAAGCCTTCCAAATTGCTGCACTTTGTCTCCTTTTTCCTATCACCCATTTCTTTCTTTTTCAGGCTTAATAAAGGGTGAACATTTCTCATTTTTTTCTTAACCATTCTCTTATACCTGACCCTTCAGAAGACATGACTGTGTGTTCCTAGTCAAATAAGCATTGCATCTTGAAATAATATTTTTATTTTTCCACCATCTGTTCCCAAAGGCTGTGATCCAAGATTCTGATGCTTCCCCTACTTTTTTCTTTAATAACAGCTTTGTGGAGCAATAAGTCACATAGCACAATACTCGTGATTTAAAGCATGTCATTCAGTGTTTTTTACTTATCTATTTATTAGTTGACAGATATTTGGCTTGTTCCCACATATTGGCTGTTATGAGTAACATTGCTATGAGCATTTGTATACAAGTATATGTGTGGACATATGTTTTCAGTTCTTTTGGGTATAGATCTAGTAGTTGAAATCTTGAGTCACATGCTAATGGTCTGTAACTTTTAGAGGAACTACTAAAATATTGTCCAAAGTGGCTATAGCATTTTATACTCCTACCGACAATGCACAAGAGTTCTAGTTTCTCCACATTGTTGCCAACACTTATTATTATCTGTCTTTGTAAATGATAGCCACCCTAGTGGAAGTGAGGCGGTATGTACTGGTGGTTTTGATTTTCCTTTCTTAATGACCAGTGCTGTAGAGCATTTTTTCATGTGACCGTTGGCTAATTGCACATCTTTTTTGGAGACTGACTATTCAAGTTTTTAGTCCATTTTAATATTGGGTTACTGGTATTTTTGTTCTGGATATGGCATCCTTAAGTGGCAAATATCTTCTCCCTTATGTAGGCTGTGCAGACCTTTGATGTCATCCAAGGAGGAGAGCCAAGGGACCACTCAAGTCTGTCCTGAGTATGTGGGAATTAGGGGGCAGGTTTCAAAGCTGTGCATGGACAGCAGATTCCTCAATTTTTCCTCTGAAGATTTTTCATCAACCTTTTTTTCCCTTAGTATCGGGAATTGAACTCATGACTTCACGCTTACCAGGGAGGCACTGTGCCTCTGAGCTATATCCCTCACCTTCATCAGCCTTTTTAAAAAACCTAAACTAGAGACTCCTCATCCGATGCTGTGGTGATGCTCTAACTACTGCTCTTTGTTACTGACGAATGTCCATTGGATATTCGTTCTCACAGAATGAACTCTGATTCAGGTAGAAACTTTGAGAATACAGCTTTTCAGTAAGCTAAAATATACAGCTCCAATAGTGACAGTTCTCAGGTTCTCAGGGGAAACTTCAAATGCTTTCCCCCAGCTTCCAGAGACACTGAGGTTGTGATTTTTCCAGCTACCATGCTTGTGAGACTGGAGTTGAGCACTGGGGCAAAGTCGCATGTCACCATGCTCACCGTGTCTACTGAGATGCTTACTTTCTTTTCTTAAATAAACACTCTGAATGGTTGCCAGCCTTTAGTTCATTTCTTTAAAAAGGTTTGCTCTGGCAGTTTTTGCCAGCATGATGTTTGTAGTGATGTGGAAGTGGGTTTCCAAAGGTCCTGACTGTTGCATTTTGGAAGTGACCGCCCTTCCTCTGACCTTCTGGAAATCCCTGCTCTTCTAGCCAGGCTGTTGCTCTGTGAATCTCCTTGCCTGGAAATGTGAATATGGAGTGTGGGTGCAGCACGGGACAGAAGCCAGCGTGACTTCAGAAGCAAAAATTGGAAAAGCGGAGAGGTCATCTCCTAGGTGCTTGAGAGGAAAACAGTAGTCACGTGGGCAATCAGATGTGAGGACCTGAGATGCCATGATAGCCCCAGTCAGAGCTCTTACAATGCAGAACTTGCCTCTGTCAACAGGTGGGAAAAACCCAGGACAAGGAAAGGGCCAAAAGGTTAAGCGTAGTGATCACTAGGGTGTAAGAACAGGGTGACTATCTTCCTCTTGCTTTTCTAATCTTTATGAAATCACTTAGCATCATTTGTGAAAATGTGACTCCATAAAAATGAAGTCGATCCGACTGAGGACAGACAGGCCATCGCTGTGGCATGAGTCCCAGCACT